TTAGTAACCCTCTTGTTCTTCCAGGGTCATTTTAGTTTGAGATACTTGTCTTATTCCATCATTTTCTTTATCTTCCAGTGTCTTTTTTATATTGACAGTTCAGTCATGCTTCAAGTCTGTGACACGTCTTAAGGCGCCTTTCGATGTGTCCGTCAAGACTTGTGCCAAGCATTCCGTATCCGTCAAAATCGCTCCCGCAGCTACATGTATTTTGACGGCCGAACGCAATGCACACGTGTGTTTTATGTTGATTTTTGTGTCCGTGAAAGTGAAACACATTAACTTGTCATATACGCAACGCACCCAAAAAGTACATATGGAAAGGCGCCTTCATTCTGCCATTGTCTTGATCTTCCAGTGTCTTTTCCATGTTGACCGTTTAGTGATGCTTGTCTGTCTGTGATTCTTATGCTGCCACCTTCTTAGGCTGTCCAAATCTGTTGTCTACAGCTAGGGCTAGGTCTTCACTCCATTGGAAATACATGGGGATGCTCTCTTCAGCCATAGCCCTGTATGGAAGTCCGTTTGAGACACAGCCTTATTCTGGTGGGGTCTGTGAGCATTTTTGTATACTGTTTACCAGTGGTTTTGGACAGCATTTGAAAACAGGGTGTCTGTGTATCAGGAAGGAAAACTGACCAAAGTGAAATGTTCATGGATTTGTGTAACCAAGTATTAAGGTGTTCCAGGTGGTCTACTACATGTAGGTGCCCCAAAGATGTTCAGATGCCCCTCCAGATACAACTTTTGCACTTTACGATTTAGTGTTGAATGTTAAGTTGATTTGTGTCGTCGTTTCAATGGATACATGAAGTCGTAAAGCACTGGTAGTTACACCTACATGTATGGTGTCAGTACATTTACATTTGGCTAAACATGTGCATGTGTACGTTGATACTGTTGAATTTTATCCAAGTTTTTTGACTTGGTATTAAACCTTATTTGCTTTAAATGTTTATCTGTTGTAACTGAATGTTATTACACTCAATGTACATTGTACAGTTCAGCTGAACAGAATTGCATGTACTTGAAAGAACATATACATGTATGTATGGTGTTTGTGTTTATTACTGTTCTGCAATAAAGTATCATACTTAAGCATGGTTTTAGTCAAAAAGGTTGACAAGGACAGTTATCGTACCAGTAATTATATATAATACTAACATCCCAATTTCTCACGTCTTTACTTGGCCTATTGTAGTCTTGAATTCTGCTTTTGCATGTTGGAGTGGGTTTGAAAGAACAGGTGTTATGATTTGATTGATTACGTTATCTTTTTGTCTATTCCGCTCAGCTATACTTGCAATTGCAGTTTCACTGGATTCTTTGGACCCCAGTGTGAGAATAACATCGATGACTGTGCACCAAATCCATGCTTGAACAATGCCACCTGTCAGGATCTTATCAAGGATTACAACTGTAGCTGTTGGCAAGGTTATGAGGGTAAAGACTGCTCCGAAGACATCAATGAGTGTCTTGACCCTCCGCCTTGCTTGAATGGCGGCATGTGCTATCAACGATCCAATCAGAGCCTGTACAATGGAAACCACCCCTTGTTTCCTGGAGAGTTCAGTTATGCCAACGCCAGCGGGTTTGTGTGCCAGTGTGCTCCGGGTTACGAGGGTGAGACCTGTAGCATTGATATTGACGAATGCGCAGTGGACCCCTGCGCAAATAACGGCACCTGCGTTGACGGCGTGAACAGCTACACCTGTACTTGTGCCGGTGGATGGGAAGGCTTGAACTGCACAATTGAGATCGATGAATGTCTCCCAGAGCCCTGTAAGAACGGGGCTACCTGCATTGATCTGATCGACGATTATGAATGCACCTGCACAGAGGAATATGCAGGAAGAAACTGCACCGAGTTACTGACAGGCTGCGTGAACAACACCTGCCTAAATGGTGCCACCTGTATACCTTCCTATGATGAGACAACAGATACTCATAGTTTCACTTGCCAATGCGCGGCTGGTTACACTGGTAATTCCTGCCAGACGGACACGTCCGTGTCATTTGAAAATGAATCGTACCTTGAAGATCGTAGTACCTTTGATCATACTACTCTGGATTACTCTTTGGCTCTTCAGACAACCCTACCGAATGGAATTCTGCTTTACTCTGGCCAGAGTCCAAGTGATAGGTTCTTCTTACTGGAGATGTTTAATGGGGACTTGTTTTTGAAATACACATCAGGTGGTGTGACAGTAGAAATTAATGATTTTGGACAGGAAATCAACGATGGTGTCTACCGCACAGTGAGAGTCGTCGTTACTGCCGAAACCATTTCTTTATCTGTGACGGTACCCCAATCCCGCCGTGCTCGCAGAACGGCAACCTGTGCTGGCGGAGTCTGTGAACAAACAATTAATATTCCAACCAGTACCCAAGTTAGATTTGGCTACATGTATATCGGGGGTGTTCCTGATTCTATTTCAGGAGCTTTCTTCTATTCTCAATCAGAAGAATTCTTCACGGGTTGCATGCGCGACATCCAGAACGAGGGAGCTTATGTTATGCCGCCCAACACCAGGGCAGCCGTTGCTCCGTCTGGGTGTACCAGGGTTGTTCAGTGCCCTGCTGATCGGTGCAACTACCGTGGCGTTTGCACAGATCTCTGGACTACCTTCAGGTGTGACTGCGACATTGGCTACGCTGGAACCACTTGCAATGAAAGTAAGTATAATCTCCGAGGTGCAAATGCATTGCTAGCCACTTCAGTCGGGTAGCTGCTCCTGATTCTTGATGCAGTTTTAGCTGCATTGTACCTTGCACGTTGTTACTAAAACTTTGAATGTTAAAATTGGAACAACCGTAAAAAGTATCATGTGAAATGTTTCTTTACAATACTGTACATCCTCTCTTTCACTCATCATCAATTTTATTTTTTCCTCTTTCAAATTGCAGGTTTCATTCCTGCTACATTCCGATTTGAGGATGCCCCAGAGAGCTATGCAGAATTCACTGTTGATGACACCCTGTCTAGTTCCTCAAGTGCCATCAGATTGGCTTTCCGAACCCGCGAACCTGATGGTTTGATCTTCTTCACCAGAGACGTATTCAGCAACAGCCACATCACAATTGAGGTGGTGGACGAAACACTGACTGTCACGGCATCTCGGAACAGCAGCCCTACCTCAGTAATCTTAGGCCAGGGACTGTCCAATGGACAATACCACTTTGTTTCAGTGACAGCCGATCAAACTGAACTCAGGGTAATCCTCAACCCTGGGGAGTCTGAACTTACAGACACCAAAGCGTTAATGAGTGGAGATCCAGATTTTGTGGATTTCAGTGTTGGCGGAGTGGCTGATTTTACAGCCCTTGATCCAGACGCCATCGTATCTGACACCTACTTTAAAGGTTGCTTGTGGGACGTCAAGGTTAACAACTACTCCCTCCAGTTTGAGCCCCTAAGCCTCCCCGATTTCCCCATCCCCTCCTTTCCCATGACTACCAACGCCAGCGTCCTGATCAACGACTGTCAGAGTGACGATACCTGTGCCGATTTGCCGTGTGAAAACGGAGGGACCTGTGAGGTAACCTGGAATGACTTCAAGTGCCACTGCCCATCAGGTTTTGGTGGTAAGAACTGTTCAGAGTTGACCATCTGCGCGAAAGAAAATGTTTGCCCTCCTGAGGCTGAGTGCAAAGACCTCCCAGACGGACATGAATGTGAGTAGACTATTTCAGCTCGCTATTAAAGTTTGGACCACTTATCCGTTAGAAAAAATGCTGCAAGTTTCAAGCATTCGATGCACCTGAAATTTGAAGCTGAATCTCAGAATTTGAAAAGACCTATTTCTGATGGGGAACTTAGCATTCATGTACTTCATGTGGGTATTGGGTGCAGTGGGTCAAAAAAAAAGGCTGAAAATTTTGGTCACTTCCTCAAAACTGGGAAATTGTTGGATGTTATTGTTCTTTAGTCTTCTTGAAGTATCTCATGGATGAAGTATTTGTTCAGAGATTCTTATTCTGTATGTTTCTGACATGTTCCTGCCTCTTAAACTCATTGAAGAACCCTCCTACTGACACTGTAACAATTCATACCATGTTTCACTTGAGCCTTGTCTTCCTCCCCTGGGCAGGTGTGGTGGACGCCACGTTCAACGGCGTCTCCAGCTTGGTCACGTACACCTCCAACATCAGTCAGTCCACCGTCCTTAACTCCATCACCCTAAGAGCTCGCACCCGCAGCGATGCCGGTATCATCTACCACTCCTCCAACAACCTCACCAATTACTTTGTCACCTTGTACCTGGACCAGGGCAAACCTGCCCTTCGCTTCAACCTTGGCCAGACCGGAGACATAGTGGAGTTGGTGTCACGGGTCAGCATCAAGGACGGTTCTTGGCATGACATCAAAGTCGAATTCTCCACTGCCCGGGTAGAAATCTCTGTCGCTCAAATATCAGAAACTATTGCAAGTGATATTCAGTCAGATTTCCTAGCCTCTGTCATCACATCAGAGGGGAGTTCTCCAGTGCACGTAGCGGGAACAACCATGGTCAACAATGATTACTTCATCAACTACAACCATTTCAAAGGCTGCCTGGATGAAGTGCGAGTGGGCGGCATCCTCCTCCCGTTCTATAGCCGAGATACCATCAACTCCACTAGTGAGGAGCAGTTTGAGGCCACCATCGTCAACGTCGCGACACCTTGCATGAGTGAGCCAGGTGTCTGCGACTCCCACTTTTGCAGCAACTCGGGCACCTGCCTGGACGTGTGGAATGACGCTGAGTGCCAGTGTGCACCCGGCTTCACAGGCGACAGGTGCCAAATTGACATAAATGAGTGCATGGCCAACCCCTGCGTGATGGGATCCACCTGTCGGGATGAGATTAACAATTACACCTGTTTATGTCTACCTGGGTATGAGGGGCGTAACTGTGACACCGAAACCAACGAGTGCGATCCAAATCCCTGTTTACAGGGTTCAGTGTGCTATGACGGTGTTGATTTCTTCAACTGTACTTGCCTGGATGGTTACACTGGTACCTTGTGTGACGTTTTGGTAAGGAGTGAAAACTTGCCTTCTATTCAGGGGGATTTCTATCTTTAAATGTTCCACATGTATACAGGAGGTCTTCAATTTTTATACAGATTTCAGAAGGTGCATGCACTTGAAATCAGGAACTTAAATCAACACATGTTCTTTTCGAAAAAAAGTGTCTAATTTGTTTTTTGTTCTCTGTAGATCAATGAAACATGCGCTGGAAATCCTTGTAAGAATGATGCAACATGCCGAGACACTCCTGGATCAGAGGCAAGTCGTCATTTGGAATTATAATTTTATTCCAGATCATGACGAAAGAAAATGTGTTTAAGTCTAACTCTGTTCTCTGACTTATATTACTTTATCAAAATGACAAGGATTTTCTAAATCATTAAAAGGCATGTCCTAAAATCATCAAACAAACCTGGTTTGATTAATGCAACATGTTCAGAGGGATTGCTATTTATACCAGAAGGTGTACATTTTCTTGGCACTTTCCTCATTAAAGAGTGCTTACTCAGAGGTTCCGTTCTGGCTTGTCCTGTCCTGGATTGACAGCTTCTCTGTTCTCCCCTTGAGGGAATGAACTAATTGATAACAAGTTGTGTTCAGCATAGAACTTGTAATAATGTCCGAAACTATTTTGACGTGAATCTTTCAAACTGTTGTTTGCACTTGTGGGATTTGAATGGTAGATGAAAGAGTCTGTTCAATTTCATTTGTTTTTCACAGATTTGTTGGGGAAAGCCGCAGAGCATTCTTTGCCCATACTTTGTTTTGGAAATATATGTTATGCTTTTTCTGACCCTTATTTACAGGTTAAGTTTGAATGTCTGTGTCCTAATGGTTTTGATGGCGATGACTGCGGCCAAGAAATTGACTACTGCGTGGCCCACAGGTGTGCCAATGGTGCCACCTGCAACAGTCTGCGGGACGAGGGAACTTACTCGTGTAGCTGCACAGATGGGTTCAGTGGAGACCTCTGTGAGATAAATGAGGACGATTGTGGGGGTGTGACTTGCCAAAACGGAGGAAGCTGTGTGGATGAGATTAAGGACTATTACTGCAATTGCACTGCAGGTGGGTATCTTTAACTCAAGGCATGCTACCAAATCCTACAGATGGGGTTAATTACCGCATTGATGTGCATTGTCATTGATAATGCAATCTCCATCCATGTTCATATCAGATGGCTGTGGCTAGGAGTAGCACATACATGTAGGTCTATGGGAAGTTGTTGGTAGCCGTTAGTCAGTGGCTTCCATAGGCTCACACATTACTTGCAGCCATAGCCATACTGTGGGACAGAGTCTGTGAGTCCCAGACCTTACAAGCAATCATCCATTCTGAGAGGCACCTTCAGAGTTGGGAAGTAGGAAACTATCCTTTCATTTTTGTTTTGTTTTTTCCAGGCTACGAGGGTAAATTTTGTCAAAATGACATCAATGAGTGTAACCCTAACCCTTGTCAGTTTGGGGCAACCTGTGACGACCTCCTCAATGATTTCAACTGTGTCTGTACACCTGGCTTCGAAGGTAAGTCAAGATAGATTGAAGCTTTAAAAATCACATCATGTCAAACTCACAGCAATTTAATGCCCTTTGTAAACAGCTTTTGTATACATATAGCTGTCAAAAAAAATTTTTTGAAAAGATTCGATTGAATCCAAATGTTCCATGGCATCATTTTAAAGTGATCATGACAAATTGCTGCAAATATAAGAAATTGTGGAAAAGTTTAAGATTTGTAGGAGTGTTTTGAGGTGTCCTGGTTAATTATCCGTTCATAATTTCTGATATTGTGGAATATTGTTTTAGCATGAGAAAGGCAATTTTGTCAAATCACAAGTGTGAAGATTCGCTTTTTGAAAGATCTTTTGCTGCATTCCTTACTGTTCGGGATCTCATCTTGTTAATGTTGTATTTCTGTTGAGTATGTTCTCAGTCTTGTAATCTGATTTTGCATGTTGTGTATGCATGCACACAATTCTGGCGTTTCACAAAATCTGTCAACCATTTCGAAATGCGCATTGGGTCGACAGATTTCGCTCTCTGTGATTGGTCAACGCGTTGCAAACTCTTGGAGGCTTACTATTGTGAAACGCCCATGTTGAAGGAGTAACATGACAAATTCTTGCTTTGCTTGATATGGTTAACAGAAATAACAGTCAGTCTTTGAAGCGTTTCGTTAATGATGGACATGGAAATGCTGTGCTTGCAGTACGGTTGATTTTATGTCTCCCAAAGATCTCCTTGACGGGGGAAAAAGTCAGTATATTGACAAAATCAGAGATGTTCTCTTTTGTTCTGGGTAATTTTTGCCGTGGTATAAATATTAAGGAGCAGTTCAGCAAGCTCTAGAAACTGAGGCAGAAATGTATCCCCTGTCAAATTCTATTGGGGAAATTTATCTATTGGGCTAAAAATTTCATGGTCTGTTGACAAAATTTGCTTGTCATAATGATGACAATTATGAATCTTCATATCGTGGTACCATTTGATGTATTGTTAATCAAGTTAGGGGTTTTATCAGTATTCTGAGTTTTCCGTCAAGATTGCTGTTGACATTGTAACATTTAGAAGGAAGTTTGTTGCATGCGTGCATGCATTGGACACCTGCGCAACATTGTGCTTGTATTTCATTTGGCTACTGAGCATGTTTGCTTTGCTGATAAACATTATGTAATGCATTTTGTCTCATCAGCACCTGTGTTCTGTTCAAAGATTCCAAGTGCTGGTTTTCATTTATTAAAGATGAATTTTGAAGTGGCACTTTGCATGGTTGATCAACTTCAAGGCATGAATTCGTTGCTGTGTATGCAGTGAAGTTAGTCTTTACCTGCAAGATTCACCAAGACTGGATTTCAGTACGGTTTGTCTTGTAAGGAGTGATGCCCTCTTCCGTTTAGCCATACAATGTTTAGAGTAACAAAACAACGCAAATCAAGTCTTGGGCCAAGACTATGATTTGGTTAACCTACATTGAACGAAGCGGGCATGGTTTGGTAGAAATTTGGGTAACTGATGGCACAAAATTGAGAGCCAGCTAAAGTGGAAGCAAAAGTTTGATGGTGAAGTTTTTGAGATTTTGTGTTTCATTTCTCTATTGACACATAAACTATAATAAACAAAAAATGTGCACTGTGATGAAATCAATACAGCAGAGAAAATAATCCATTTTGTAGCAACTGTTATACCATTTGCTTTTAAGGAAATCATGTAAACAAAATCCAGATTAGATATATATTTATTCTGATTTTTGTTGACATTGTCTCTATAGGAATATATGTACCATCCCTGGGTTCTAATTAGGGTGTGAAGCACTTTTGTAATCATGAGTAGCGACAGCAAAGTTATAAACATTCGAGGCCGTTGGATTTTCCAAAGACTTTCCTAGCTGTACAATGTGGGCTGTATAGAAAGACTTCAAGTGTTTCCCTTAGTCCAGTCATGAGGGGGGTTGTTACTCTGTATAATGCATGCAGTGATACTATGAGGCGGTACACGCAGGTTACATCGGTGTTCCGGCTGCCAATTTTTTGAAATAACAGCCGAAGTTTAAGGCTTGGCAGACGCAAACTCTTCATGCAGCGCGGAGTACAATTTTTTTGTCACCAACTGCTCAACATTTCAGCCAGTGCTTGTGTTGCCAGTTGGTGACAAGTCACCGACAGTGGCAATTGACAGCTGAAGGTTGTTCCGCCATTCTGCAACTTTTTTGAAAAGGTTTTTCTGAGTCCTGTTCTTAACTTGCTGCTGCTGTGAATGTTTCAGCTTGCGACAAACTTATCCAATGTCTTTTCAGCATTCAAGCAGTTGTTTCATGAGGAACGAGCTGCTTTGATGTCTTCTTTTTAAGATGTTCATTCACCAGGCTTCTGTCTGTCTGTGTTATATTCATGTGTCACAAAACTCATCCATTTTATCTCAATCTGTACTAAACCTGACGTCATCCCAAGGCACTGCAAAATAAACCATTCCACTGAATATTCTAACAGTCAGCCTAAAAGTGTTGCATGAATTGTTCTTACTAACAAAGCCGATTGCGCTGCTTTTTAACCCACTTGAACCAAAACATTGTGAAATCCAACTGAACCGTTCTTAAAAATTTTTGTTCACTCTTTATTTTTTCTTTCCCATCATGCAACACTTTCAGGCCAGTTCTGTTCCGTTGACATAAATGAATGCCTTGTTGCCCCAAATCCCCTTTGCCAAAACGGAGGCATCTGCATGAACACTGTAGGAAGCTATGAATGTATCTGTCCCATGGACACCTACGGCCCCCAGTGCCAGATCTCCCCTTGTGACCCCTCCCCCTGTGAGAATAACGCCACCTGTACCACCCAACCCAGGGGGGTGTATGACTGTCTCTGCCCCCTTGGGTACGAGGGGGTCAACTGCAGTGTTGCTAATTGTTCCATCGCGGGTTGTCAAAATGGCGGCACTTGTCTGCTTGGTGATGGTAGCTGGGAATGCAAATGTGCTGAGTTGGACGCAGGTAGACCTTTCTGTTTTTCCGTTATCCCCCCTCCCCTTTTACGTTGTGTGAGCTAACCTTATAGAGACTTCACAGATGTCATTTTTAAGAGATTGTCCATTTTGGCCCTTTCTGGAGATAATTTACTCGTTAATCCTGTAAGTTTCTACTTCACTAGTAACCCTAAATAAGTATCTTCCACAACGGACACTGCTAAGACATTGGAACACCTTTTGCAGTTAAGCTCACGCCAGAGAGAGAACTTTCATTTAATCGTAATTACAGGAAAAACTTCATTCTTCCTTTCATTTTTGTCAGTTCAAAATAGAAGAAAAATTCTCTAATATTTAAATCAAGCTGGCTATCTTTCCAGATCCATTTTTTGGCTTTCCTTCAAAATTTCCAAATCCATTCTAATCCCTCTTCATCAAATCTTTTATCACAACCTTTAAAAAGGGAGTAAACATGCTTGGCCAGTCTTAAAGGTGCATTTAAGACCGGCTCAAGAGAATGGATGTGACTAATGCCCTCACAGCTCGGGCATTATAATCATTCAGTCTCCTGAGCTGGTTTAAACATTAGTTTAAGACTGGTCAAGCACTTATTAATTCCCATTCATAAATACCTTTTTTAGTCAGAGAGTCAAGAGAAGTCAACATGTGATGGATTTCCAACAATTTTGTTCTAGATTTTAATTTTCATTTTCCTCAACACCCCTGGTATATTTCTTGTGAAACTGTTGTCCCAAAGAATCTCCTTATATGGACTTGCCATGTGTGTGGCGTCTGCGTACACACAGACTCTGGACCAATCAGAATCAATTAAACTGTCTCGTATCTAGGTGCCCGCCCGTGATTTACGCAGCGGGCATTATCACTTCTTAACAGGCATTAGCAAAATGTTAAAAGACCCTCAGGTTGCCTGTTGTTGAATAGGGAGACTGTCTGAGGCATTGATGAATTTCATTTTAAAAAAGGAAACCAACAGCTGCTGTCTTCACCATTTCCCATTTGTTCTTCTCACTGAGATTCATCAGGTTTCAATTTGACCAGATATACTTCATTTCACCCCACTCTTTTGATTGGTCTGTTTGTCCTCTGTCTTCCTGGTGGTGTTTATCTAGGAGTTGATTGTTTGTCCCTAGTGAAAACAAGTACAGCTGATATACTCTCAGGCAACTGCTGCTACCTTAAAAAGCCTTAGGAGTAGTAGCATCCTATTAATTTTAAAAAGCTGCGTAAAACTCTCAGGGATCAGTTTTGTCAATTTCAGAATACTTTAGCATGATTAGAATTTCTTTAGCTGCACAATGCACTCTTTTCTTCAGTTTTGAATGGTGTGATTAACTGTTTGTATGCAAGACAAGACTTTTATTTTTCAAAATTGTTTCCAAACTATTGAAATGTAACAGTTCAGCCGCTCAGATTTTGATTTGATTTTAATAACAGTTCCACAGGTGGATGTGGTCCAATGATATAAATGCAGAGACTGCTATCAGTACACATATGTAGAACATGCTTACAATTATACCACGATCTGATGTCATTGGCAGGTGTTTTTTTGGGGGGGGACTTACTTATTGAAGAAAAGTCATCTAGATGTAACTTTAAGAACATCATTAGAAATTATTTTTAGAACTTTAAACCTGGAATCACAAAGTGGAAACACCCATCTCATTTCTTCCTTCCCAGGGCCGTTGTGCCAATATAAAGGACCTTGTTCTTTGGACATTGACCCTTGCCTTAACGGCGGGTCATGTAACCAGACCTTCCAAGATGATGGCAGCTTTAGCTACATGTGTCGTTGCCCCGTCGGCTTCAACGGCACCAACTGCGAGCTGAAAATCAACTGGTGTGACAGCAACCCTTGTCTTCATGAGGGCAGCAACTGCACCAGTACAACAGACACATTTCTTTGCAGTTGTGGACCGGGATACACAGGTAAAAATGTGGAGAGACTTATTTTCTTTTCAGCGTCTTAACCCTACCCTAACTCCCAAGGGTATACCAGGCACGAAATGGGACAGAGGGGTACCCCCCCAAACAAGTTCAATCCCTATACACACTCCAACCTATTGTTACTTAACACATCTCCCCTTGATGTCTGAAAAGAATTCCTGAGATACCAGTATAACAATGACCAACACAAAGGTGTGGGGGGGGTTCTCTCTATCCCATAGTTTGCTTCATATGCCCTAGGGAGTTCCAGTCCTTGCAGATCTCAACAAACTGTGCACATAAACAGGTGGACTCTATGCCTTGTCCCACATACAACACAGCCAGTATAGCAGTGCAGTCCTCATCCAACAAATGCTTGGGTTGGAATTTGGCTGGCTCAGGATCATTAGGGTTAATGCATACAATTTAGAAGTCAAGACAAGAAGTTATGTTAGTGACTGCTGCTAAAGGCTCAGCTCAAAGGTTACCTGGCATGAAGTGGAATTGAGGTTTTAACCCAAATATAGAAATCTGTATTTGCAGAAACCCAAAGAACAGGGTGGGGTTTTATGACAGTCGTCGTTTTCTGTGGAATGTCAGCGTACGAGATGAAGGATGCCCTGCAGGAAATGTCCATGACTTGGTACTGTAACTATCTTGTTAGCTAAACAGTGTATATGGTCAGATTTTATCTCCAGATTATTGCGTTTAATACAAATGGCAACATCTTGTAATTGCAGGCACGTTCTGTGAAATCAAGTTACCAGACTGTGCCAGCAACCTGTGCCAAAACGGAGCGACGTGCCAAGATCTAGACTATGGCTACAAGTGTCACTGTGCTGATGGTTACAGCGGTGATGACTGTGAGACTGACATTGATGAGTGTGCTGTGGAGCCGTGTGAAAATGGTGGCAATTGCACCGATGCTGTCAATGATTTTATTTGTAACTGCACCGGCACTGGTAAGTTCAAGGCCTCAAAACTGTCTAAGTTAGTCATGTTCACTTTGAGGCAGTAGTTTACTGCCTCTTCCTGTTTTGGCTGTTGAGTCCAAAAGCATTTATTCAAGATTTTTATTCAAGATTTAAGCCCTGTTTCAGATCGTTTCTGGGTAAGCAAGATTTCTCTGCCTGATCCATGGACAATCATTTCTCTTCTCTTTGGCTTTTGCTATGTCCCCTTCTGTTTCTTCCACCAGGTTACCAAGGAAACACCTGCTCTGAAGACGTTGATGAATGCACCACACTCAGCCCTTGTCTCAACAACGGCACCTGTGCCAACTCACCAGGGTCCTTTAAGTGTACCTGCCAGTCTGGTTGGCTTCCGCCCGTCTGCTTCCTCGCTGATCCATGTGTCGGGAAGCCTTGTAAGAATGGAGGAAGATGTGACTACGCTGTCTCACCGGACGGTCAGTCGGTTGAGTGGAAGTGCGTATGCTCGGCGGACTATGACGGTGACAAATGCGACACGGTAAGACATGCTTAGTGATGTATTCTCGCCCCGACTGTTGGTCTGATCCAGAGGAAGGTGTAAACCCAGTCTGGTAGAGGAAAATCCTGTTGTGGCCTTACAATTTTCAACGTCACCACACGCACACCAGATGCAAGGATGGATCCAGAACCAGATTTCCAGGGGGACCAAACTTGGGGGGGGGATAACATGACAAAGTTTTCCATGTAACCTTTTATGGTCTTTCTGAGCATTGAGGCTACATTGTGGGGGGGGCTTTTTGCCCACTTTATGAAATAAGGAAATGACAAAGATCAAGAAATCATCTTTTCTCTCCTTAGTTTTCAAACAGATTTTGTACTCTTTTTGGAAGGGGGACATGGTCTCCAGAGGTTCTCCTCCCTCCATCCATTCAGAGGGATGGGCCATACGTCAACATTTTTCTAATCAAGCCTTCTGATTTTTCTCAACCTAACCAACACTGTCAGCTTAATTTATATAACGGGTTTTGCCCTTACCCATACTGTATGCTAAGTGCTTGTCCGAGAGCCTTTGAAAAAAGTCACAACTCGAACCCACGACCTCCTGCTTACTAGTACAGACGTCTTAACCACTCGACCNAGTTCGCAGTACCCGCTGCTTCACCTGACTCGGACCGGCCAGCCGACCCCGGCAAGCTCGGTGGTCGAGTGGTTAAGACGTCTGCACTAGTAAGCAGGAGGTCTTGGGTTCGAGTCCCACCCGAGTAAGCTTGTGACTTTTTTCACAAGCTCTCGGACAAGCACTGAGCATACAGTGTTTATTAATATATTTTTGCCTATATATAATATAGGCAAAACCTGTTATACAAATTAACATCTCCCCAACGAAAAAAAAAATACATCTTGAAAACTGTCAACTTAGTTTGAAAGATCCGGGAGGCAAACTCCAAACTCAGATACCTTGAATCAGGAAGTTGGAGTTTTGAGACAACACAGAATTTTAAAAAGTGGCCTGTTTTAAGTTCTTCCCCCAATTTGACCCCTGTAAAACTTGTTCACTCGTTACCCCTGACAAAGTGCATGCATCAGATAAAAACCACATGGAGAACTCTATATTGACTGCCTTTCTGTTATCCATCTCTTAGTTCATTGGAAATGAGACCAACTGGGCTCTAATTGGTGGCGTAACAGGCGGGGCGGTCGTTCTCCTCATCATTGTCATTGTCTTAGGGATCTTCCTGATCAACGTGAAGAACAAGAGAGCCACCAGGGGCACTTACAGCCCCAGCCGACAGGAGATCTCCAGCTCCAGAGTGGAGATGGATAACATCCTCAAGTTGCCTCCAGAAGAGAGGCTTATCTAGAGGTTTCTCATCAACCTCATCCCCCACTGATGGCAAACCCTTTGCTCCAACTAGAATTGATCTTTCTTGAGGTATGTCTGTTGCATGGAAGCTGGGATTCAGACTTGTGGTTCCCTAGAAGATTACACAACATTGGATTGGGAAATTCTGCCATCTCTTATTACACATTTCGGAAACATCACTAACCTTCAGGAATGAGGTTGATGGAGAAGCCGTTTTTGTCAAGCTCCGAGTGGTCCTTATCAAATTGTAAAATAAAACTTGGCAGTAGGCTATGGACAAATCCGACAGTCACAATGAGAAACCGTTACTGCAAGGCCATCTTGTTTGCACACAGATGGTACAGACGTGTCACATTCCTCTCCAGCTAGTGGAGTGTCCTGACTTGTGAAAGTGCGTGTGGGTGCCCAAGTTAAGACGTGTCCATAAGTGTGATGGCCCGCAGGAATGGCCTCTCCTCGGGTTTGTCTATAGTTGATGACTGCCACATTTCAAATTTATATTGCCACCGTATTAAAAGATTTCTTATAACATCTGGAGAATGATCCCTAGTTTCACTAACCCAATGCAGCATTTACTTTCAAACATTTTTATTCATTTTTAATACCCACATTTTACTCATTTTATGCAGTAATCTTTTTTAAGCAGTGGCCAGGTTGTTTTCCCCAAACAAGTTAAACATGAGTTTTTACTTCGGGTGTTAGATTCTCTGCATAAGTTTTATTTTGTATATAAATATTTAGTTGATATTGTGCATTTATTTGCCTTTTCGTTCTTTAAGACTTGGTGTAGAACAAAATCTTGCATTCATACAAACATTTTTATCCAGTATCCCAGATTAAACTTGTGAAAAATTGTCCAATGAAAACAGATGAAAAATTACATAACCCGAATAACAGACCCTAGAGTGCCTTTTTACCGTCCAAAGCTTTACAAAATTAAAACCAGCTTGCTAGTTTTTTGAACATTTTTAATAAAAATGTAAATATATTTATATATATTCAAAGGTAGTTAGTTGGAATGCACTTTTAATTAACTAAATGCTGAGACTTTACACGTGAAAGATAAGAAAAATCAACTCATGCAAATTGAGCTATTTGAATATGCGTAATTTTAGAACAGTTGGGAACACTTGTAATATGATTCCATTTTTGTTGTTTTTAGTTGTATTTGACCGTTTCTTTCTGTTTTGATCAACTTGTTGAAGAGGTAGTTGCCAATATGCTCTAGAGATATTCTCGGAATGTTCTTTGGGGGAATTTTTTTCAGGAAGTTATGTTAATCGCATGTTTAAGTATTACTCAATAACTAATTTATTTAATCAACACAAAGGAATACTTGTATAATGCTTGTTTACTGTGAAACATTTTTATGTTGCTGCCTGTGGTTTTCCCATTTCTCTGCATCTCTGTTCTTTCCTAACTTTGATTGCGCTAAGAAGTCCAGTATTCTTGCTTAGCATTTACCGGTTGCTGCTGAACTGTTCAGAGTTAAGTGTGTACTTACATTCTAACTTACCCTTGCATAGTTTGATGATAACTAGTGCTTTTAATGTACAGCTTAAGTAGAATCTTTGAGAGATTGAGCATGGTGTGGGTTTAAAACCCTTGGTGTTATTCAAGTGCAAAGAGCTCTAGATGTTTTCTTTCTTTTTGTGTTTGCTTATAAAATTTTACAGCAGGTGCAGTAGTTGATTCTGCATAATTGATTGAGATTTTTTTTCCAGTTTTTCAGTACTGGGATTGATGTTCAGGGGCATGCATTTTCTCCAAGTTTTGAAACCTGCAGCAGACAGAGAAACATTTCTCATTATCTAATATCCCCATTTTTTTGATGGAGGTTCATGTCAGTAGAGGGCAGCAGACATTGTTTCTGAAATCAGGTTCGATCAGGTAGTTGCAGATTACAAGTACAGCTCAAGCAACTGCATTCAAACTCATGTAGTGTACAGTAGATGGACTTGACTTTTTCTACTTGATTCTTGTCTGTAGGTTTCAAACTGTTGACAAATTGCAATATTTCCATACTGCATATGATTAGCATATGTCATTTACAAATGCACCTGCCAACAGCTCAAAATATTCCACAAAATGGAGATGCTATTCTGTACATTATGTTCCTCCTAAGACCAAATATTGAATGGTGTGTTTCATGCTTGCTGAGTTCTTTGAACACGGCACACCACTTTTGTATGTTTTGTAATGATATATGCATGAGAATGTGTGAATGAATGTTTTTGAAATGAATATGTTTGCATTGGTGTGTGTTCATTGTAATCGCCTTTTTTGGCATAACTTACAGAAACATCTTTATGGTGGTCGTTAAATTAGTTCAGTACTAGATAAAAGTTCAAGGATTCACAGATTTAGAATTTGTAAGTACATGTATTCCGAAGCTCTTTTGGGGAAAGAAGTAATTAGCAAATACGTGGTGCTGATGGAAATGACCAGTCATTCTAATGTCATTCCAAACATTCTTTAAATCAATGAACTAAATAAGCCAATCAGAATCCTGGATGAAAACTGAGAAACCTTCCAAATGGTAGACAAATCATTATATGACCACTTCTCAGATTCTCATTGGTCAACTGTATATTGCATATTCATAATCCTATGGCAATTTGTTTTATTGGTTGGAAAAACATCAACTGTGTGGGAATGTGTGATACACTGTATACTCACCAAACTGTGGTAAACCTGCCCATAATTACATGTACATTATTTGGTTAAAACATTTTCATTTAAAGATGTCACAGTTTGACTGGAATTTTAAAATATAATTCATCCACTGACAGTATTGTACTCTGAGTTATTCAAGAGACCAGTAGCTTGTGGCTCTAGAAATCCTCAGAGCTACAAAAATAACAATTCTTGGTTTCAGGTTTTATATTCTAAGTCTTTTATAACAGTGGTTGTGCGCTGACATTTAAGTGGTAAAAAAAAAAGATATTTGATATTATTGCAGGGGCGTAGCAAAGATATTTTCTTTGGAGGGGGTGTACCAGAGTCAGTTAGCTTACTTGTAACTTGTTTGCCAACCTCATGTCGTGTAGAATGGAAATCCCTGGTATGCTTGCTACATTTCATGCCTAGGGGGAAATGCCGATGACCAACATATATCGTTTATGTACCAATTTTGGATTTATTTGTCGACCGAAGCTCTGTTTACTGACTGGAATTAATTTTCGGGGGGTAGTGCACCCCCACACCTCTCTGGTTGCTACGCCCCTGAAAAAAAAATCTTGAAAACGCCCCTGATTATTCTGAAAGACAGTCTGCCAGTGACCTGTCACATGAGCCTACTACTTGTTATGGATAATAAATTCGTGTGTTGAAGTAGCTACAGTCAGGATAAATTGATGTGTAAAATATTTCAGCTAGTTATAGGAAAGATTGAAAAAGTCTCTCTATACTGTTGGGTTGGGTAGCATCATCTTAAACGGTGTTTTGTAGAAATTTACCAGAATCATTTCCAAAGATTGCTGTTGAGTTAACCTCATTGCTCAACATGTCCAACAAAATTTGTAAGACTACGGTTTATAATGGAGATGTACATAGATTGAATGCAATATTCTGTTTTGTTCTAATTTGCTGTAACGGGAATATATTTTAGTATGGAGAAATCTTTCCAAGGTTTGAAATAAGATGTCGTTTGTTCTGTTGTTTAATTTGTCTGGTTGGCTCATCTGATTTTCTTCAGGTCGAAAATCTGAATTTCGGAAGGGATCAGTAACATCACAGAGCATGGTTCTGTGTGCTTTCGAATCTTGTTATGAACTTATACCATTTGTCATCACGCCTTTTTACAGGTGTCATGGTGGTTCTGAAAGGAGGATTAGTAACAGAAGAAGAGATGGGAAAGGGGAAAGGAGAGGAGGGGCGTGTCTAGCTTTGGTTTTAGAGGGGGTGTAACTATAGGGAGGGGTTACATGACGGCTTTGTATTCGTTTTGGCAATTCGGGTGATTACACTCAATATCGTTTCATTAGGCACGGCGGAACTACCCCTGTAAAGAAGTCGGTGGTGTCACCGTGCAATTTTGGTTACCATCATGACCACCATCTTGCCCATTATTTTCCTCCTCCAATTTAAGTCCGTGGATGGCTTGCCAGTTTTCTCTCCCGCACCCATTTTCCTATGATTTAGTAGTAACCGATATCAGTACAAGCATGCCATTTCCAATTGTTCCCGATAACTCCCGAGGTATACCAGCAATAAGTTTGCTACATGGTGTACTATACCCATCAGGCTTCAAATTGTGGATAGGACCACACGCGACACGCCTAGCGTGCTCATTAATTTAAGTGCAGCTGTGTTCTCGCCATGCCCTCGTTTCGTTGACTTTTAATTAAGTATCAACAAAGACCTGCATATTAAGTCCGTCCCTCAAGAGCTATACCTTCTCTAGAAAGTCGGCGACTCTCCTCCCCTCCGTTTCCCGGAAATATAATCTTCAAACCCGACGATCTTGCGAATGTTTGCAACATAGTTTTCACGGGCTTATTACAAACACTTCAGACAGCGAAAAACGTGAACACGATTAAGAACTTTGGAAACAATGACTCACATGCCACTCACATCGTTTGTAGCTGAAGTTAAATTGTTCGCCAAAAAGATATTTCTGCTCTTGAAATGAATATTAGTACATTTTGTGGAAGAGCATTCAGTTTCCCGAAGCAGAAGGCCACATTTACCAAATGTTAGACCTATTTGAAAACGACCTTCGATATTTACATTCCACATTGTAAAACTGGAAATAATAAAAGCACAACATATTTTCAGCTTGATGAGGCCTTCCTGTATTTCTGGCAATTCACTCTACTTGCATGAATGAGCTCACCCCATGAACTCTCGATGCATAAAGCATCGCAACCGGCAGTCGATTTCTATCGCCTTTACCAACAAGGCTATGAAATAAACGCTGTAGTTCGAGGTGAGGCGAACGATTCTGCGTGAATTTAATCTTGTAACATTTCCTTGTGCAGTTTTTGGTCTGCTAAGTGCGGTTTTAAAAAGTTGGATGGTTTAAATGACAAGTCGATCGACAACATTGTATGTGGTTGAATTACGATTACAGCACTCACATGTATACCATGATTTGGTTTGGATGAACCTCTCGATAGGTATTAGAAACATGTGGTTCAACACCAGGAGAAAAGATAACTCAGTTTGCCCATGCAGTTAGAAAATAACATGGGTTCCATTGTACAGAAAGTGGTGTCGTTGTTTATCTGCGCATGTCTGGGTAAGTTAACCATGTCGATTTTTTTTATAATTATGAACCTGCGTTATTCAATTTTTCCTTCAGTTGAGCGGCACTTCAATTTTTGGAGTAAACCCTTGGAAATCGTCAAGGAAGTGGGAAAATTCAGACCCAATGTTATTTTTCAAAAGTGTAGTTGTGCTTACAACGGGACATTAATTTATTTCAGTGATCTCTTGAAACTGATAATGATATTACCAGGGAACTTCAGAAAACTCGAATTTTATTATTTTATTTCTTGTACCGAAACTTGAGATTACTAAAAACTACTGACACCTAAAGAAAGAAAACATTCAGTTTAGAGTTAGAAGGAAATTAAATCCTATATTCTGGGAGTGAAAACATAGGCCACCCAATGACTCTTTCCCTTTCTTTTTTAGTTGGAAGCGTCTGTACTTCATGACTACTTTAAGAACCTTCGTTTTGATTGGAAGTTCTCTTTTTTAGGGATAACTTCAACTGGGCAATGGTTTCAGGAAAAATCAACTTTTTTGTCAAACGCCCCTGTATTTACTAAGACATTCAAATGCGCTGAGCATAATCCGTCCTGTTATTCTAATGTTTCATAATGAATTTTACGGAGTATTGCCTGATTTATTTTATCAAAAATCAGTTTCATTTGGCCAAACGTAAATAATCAAGAGGATGTTAAAATTCATTCTTCACTCATGGGGTGACGGCATTCATTCATCAAATTTTGTACTGTACTGCAGTGTCTTTCCTTTTTAATTAAAATGAAAGGAAACTAACCAAGTCAAGTTATTAAGCTCAGGTGGTGTTGAAAAATGGTAGTTTCTAGCATTATTTTCAAATTTTGAAATCATTAAAATGAAACTTGAACGAGGCTAAATACTTTAGCGGGCGCCACCCAATTCAAGGGAAATTCTCAGCTCAGCCAGGCAGAGACGCTCAAAAAGTATCCCCCACAAATTCCTTCGAAAAGAGGGGTCTGTGTGGGCCAAGAAATTGTGGTATTGTGTAAGTATGGCCCAAATCATCTCTGTAGATTCGGGGGCTCCCGTCTGGGAGCAAAGCAGACAAAATGTGATTGCAATTTGTCAGAAGAGCCTCAAAACGGTGAAGGCCAGGATGTCATTTGAAAAATGGCTGCTGAGAAGACTTGGGAACATTCCCTTTTTGGGGGGGGGGAGTTTTTTGGGGCAGATAATCAAAACCTTAATTGGTTAATTTACTAAAAACTGAAAATCAAATGAAATCTGAGGGACCAAAGAACAAACTGTTTTTTGTTTGACAGACCTCAGGGACTTCGTTTGCCCGCAATGGGACTCCAAACTTTGTTGATTTTACACTGTTTTCAATGGGGCTTGAATGAGTGCAGTTCACCTAGTTGGTCTGGGAAGAGGCCCTAGGTCTAGTGGATAATGGCGGCCTACCTTTGGTGAGAGTTTCCGTGCAGTTTGAT